CAGGTGAGTGAGACTCTGCCTCAAAAAAAAAAAAAAGAGGTTAAGTGAGTTGTCAAATGTTACATGGCTTCCAATGGTGAAGACGGGATTTGAACCAAGGTCTGTCTGGCTCCAGAGCTCAGCTGCTTAACCACTGTCCTTCATTGCCTCTACGTTCTGTCTTCTGAAATCCATAAAAGCTTCGGTGAAGTCCATTCTTGGATGGTACTTTAATGAAACAGGGTATTCCAAGATTGCAAAGCAAAAATTCTTTTAAAAATAAAAACAATAATGAAGACGAATTAAAAAGAAATTCTTTGAAGCAGTTGTCGGTGTACACGCGCTGAGGCGTGCTCACCCTTAAAGCAAAGTCCTGCTTCTGCGCCTGTAGTGCGTGGGCCTCTCAGGCTGCCTGCCAGTTTCATTTCAAGCTGCTCATCAACAAGCCTCCAATTTAAATCAGGCTGGACTCCTTAAAATTCCTGTAACTTTTATGTATTCCTGTTTCTATTCCCTTCCAGAAGCTGTTCTCCCCATTGGAAATGCCCTATGGTAAGTTAAAGATGGCCAAGCATTCTTTAAAGCTCCTCCCATCAAAGCATTCTTTAAAGCTCCTCCCATCAATAGTGGAACCTATTTCCCCACACTCCTGCATCTGGGCTGACTTTGTGACCTGCTTGGAGCCATAGGATGTGGCAGAAGTGACGCCACAAGACTTCCAAGTCTTGGCTTGCAAAGGCCCTGTAGCTTCCACTTTCACCTTTCCACTTTCACCTTTACACTTTCACCTTTACACTTTCACCTTGCTGTCTGTGAGTAAGTCCTTGAGTGAGGACCAGAGGGGCCACGTGGACAGAGAGGCCCAGGCATCCAGCCATTACAGGCCTCAGGCCCCGGCCCGGGAGCAAGGCCACTGCCCCTGGCTCACCCAGCAACAACTGCAAACAGATGCAGAGCAGAGATGAGCCATCCTAGCTGAACTCTGCCCAAACTGTCACTCCAAAGACGAGTGACCAACAAATGGCTGTTGGTTTAAGCCCTTAAGTTTTGGGGTGGTTTGTAAAGCAGCAGTAGATGACTAACACACCATTTTATTCCTTTCTTCCTAATATGTCCTCCACCTCTTTGTAAACCAAGCTCCAAAGTCACTCCTCCTGATAGAAATTTTGCCCACAAAGCCAGTGTCACTCAGGACTAAGTAGACGGCCCTGTCTAATGTGATTCTAAGCACGCCAAGACCCCACTGTTTCCTTAAATACCTTCCCCATCCACTGGCTGATGCCTGGAATCTCAGCATTAAAGTTTAATTACTTGCATAAGAGCATAAATGCCTATTAAATTTTAAGAGTCCCTGGAAGGGATAGCAAGTGCATGCTTTTGATTTTGCTTTCCTTATAAAAGCATACAGAAATAAAAAGTGACACTAACATAAGGTTACTTTCCCAAAGAGCAAAAAAAATTGTTTAATGATTTGGACCAACTTGAATATAAGCCTTTAGGGAGATAGATGAAATAGTTGTGTATCTAATTTCAATGTTTAGTTAATTAATTCAATTAAGCATACATACTTAAAATCACATTATATAAAATAACATAACAATTTAGAAATATTTCTTTTTTTCCACTCTTCCATTCCATGAAGGTATCTGATTTGAAATTGCCATCTGTGTGTCTACTGGCAAGTGTCGTCTGTTTCACTAGGGGCATTTTTTGACCATTTAACAGTTTTCCAGACATCATCTTCTCTTCCATCTAATTTATATATATTTTTAACCATGGTGCTGCCATTGGAATTCTTATCCCAAGCTACAAGTACCACTCACAAGACACTACGTTTTTGTTCTACTCATCCTAGAAGTCTATATTCATGATTGTCACAGTGTGGTCACTTACAGTACTGCTTTGTGAAAGGACCTTCAGAAAGCTGGTTAACAATGACATCTACAGCTTGAAATTTGGGGGCCTTTTTCCAAAGAAAAGATTCATTAAATTCATATGAAATTTCTTTGCTCCTTTTTTTTAAGCAGATGACCGTAATTATATAAAAGTTTATGATTTCTTGAGGTCAATTCAGGTTAATGTGCCTTCCCCAAATAGCACTTTGCGTTTCAAAGTCAGAGAGCATTCCATAATGCAAGAACATTAAAAGGACTAGAATGTAAATCAGCTCCCTCTTTTCTGAGAGATATTTTTGGAGAGAAAATCAAATGCCCTTATCTGACTTATATATATTAATACATGTTCATGCTACAGCGTGGTTTTCTCAGTGACATAGCTGCACTTTGAAGTAAACAAGTTGGCAGTCTTGCAAAATAGATATGTGTCGATTCTAGAAACTTCAGACAATACAGAAAATAGGAGAGGTAAAAATAAAAATGATCCATAATGCTCCCAATTAGACTTCATAATTTCAACAGTTTGGTTCATTTCCTTCCAGATTTTCTTCCTATGTATTATCACCTATGACACTAAACTCAATCGGCTGTTTCTACTTAATACTATAACTTAGGCATTTCCCTTATCAGAAATTCTTTGCATAAAGATATGCCATCATTCGCTTGTCCTCCCTCCTATGGCTGTGCCTTTAGATTGTCCGTGAAAACAGACATACCTCAAACAGACACCAGCCCCTTGCACTTTAGTGTGAAAAGTTTTAGATTTCTTTTCTCCTTTTTTACTTTATTGAGCATCTCCCCAAGTAAAATACACCAAAAGTGAATAAAGGGAAGTCCCTGCCCTTAAAAGAGATAGAGCCATAAACAATTAATTGCATAACGTACGATCAAAGCTTGAATAAAGGTACGATCATGCACCACACAACATTGTTGGACCCCATATACAACGGTGGTCACATGAGACTATAACACCATCATTTTATTGTCTCTTTTCTATGTTTAGATATGTTTAGGAACACGAATACTCGCCATTGAGTTACAGTTGCCTACAGTATTCAGTACAGTGACATGCTGGGTAGGCTTGCGGCCTGGGAGTAACAGGTTGTACCACATAGCCTAGGTGTGTAGCAGGCCGCACCATGTAGGCTTGTGTAAGGACACTCCATGATGTTCCGCAAGGGAGAAATCACCTAAGGATGCATTTCTCAGGACGCATCCCTGTCACTGCAGGAAGCACTACTGCAATAGTACAAAATGCTGCGGCAGCAAAATAGAAAGAAGGCTGACCAGTTGGTCAGAGGAAATTCCATGAAGGAGTCAACATTTAAGAATTTGGGGACTTGTTTGTTTGTTAATTGCTTGTGTTTAGGCTATTAAGACTCAATTTTGAAAAGATTTGCAAAATCAGAAGAAACATTTAAGCATATGTCTCTATTTACATTCCTGGAACAGAGACATCGCTGCTGTGTGGAGCCGAGCCTGGCCATCCATACCTTTGCTTTGCAACAACTGAAGTTTTCCTGAACGAGGGCCTTTGCCCTGCGAGCGGGTTTGGATGGGGAAATACGAGCGCGGGGGCACCCAGGCCTGAGGGTGGGACAAGAAAGACGCCAGGACAAGTGCCAGCACGAAAGGCCAGAACAAGCCTGGCCTCTTCCTTGCCTCGCTGGGACCAGCCCTGCCACTCCCGCACCATCACTGCCTCCCGCTTTCGTACCTCCCTGTCCCACGCACACCACGGCGACGCCTACAGCCTGTGCTCCAGTTCTTTAAAATGCGCACGTTTCATCTCCCTCCAATAAGTGCCTCGAGTTTAGTGGAGACAGCAATAATGTAACTGTATGGGGCCCATGGCTGAGTTCAAGGCCTGATACAGAAAATGGTGGGCACCGGGAGGGACACGCCGCTTGCCGCCTCCCCATAGCTCAGCATCTCTGTGGCCCAGCGCTGCGGAGGGCACTGCTGCTGGGGCGGGGCCCCACAGCAAACAGCCGCCCAGGGCCCTGAGTGCCACTGCCTGTTTCCGGCCACGCTGCTTGCGTGATCCTGATTGGCTAATTTTTGAATCCCACTGTTTTTGATTGGATGTTAAAGCTTGATGTTGATTGGATGTTAAAGCTTGATGTTGATTGGATGTTAAAGCTTGTAGTTGATTGGATGCTTTTTGAGCCCTACCAAGGGTATAAAAGCAGGAGGATTACAAGGGGGGGGGCAGAAGGGTCAGGAGAGCAGAAGATGGGAAGAGAGCTGTAACACTAGGCGTGCTGAGCCTGCTGTAGAAGAATAAAGGCTGTTCTCTGATTCTTCGTGTGCTGCTCGGTTCTTTCCCTGGTCAAGAGCTGTAACACTAGCTGTACACATTGCCACAACAGGCCCAGCTCCGCTACCGACTATGGGCTCGGTGTGAACCCAGGGTCATGCCCAGCCTCCTCTGTGCTCTCCTTTCTGCCCAAGCAGCCTTCCGATCCCTCTGTCTCAGTTTGTAGACATGGCCACAGGCAGGTGACAGTTGTGCCCCTTCTGGCGACTCTAACTCTCCGGATTCTTCACCGCAGACCTGTTTTCCTGCTTTTACATTTGCCCATGTTCCCTTTAAAAAGCAACTTTAGGATGATCAATTCAATTCCAAATGAATAGCTAAAAGAATTTATCATGAGTTATTCACTTCCTGCCAATTAGCCTCAAGGACTCTACGATTTTTTACCAAACACAAATATCCCTATAGAAATTATTTTCAGACATCAGACTGGCAGAACTAAAAGACAAAGTATGTGGGAAGGTAGAATTAAAAGGACATTGAAATTAATTGGTGCAATTTAAAACAGAGACTTCTCTTTTCTGCTTAAGGCACAGCAGCTTCTTAGATTGCATTAAGCATCCAAGTCTTGTGTTTTAAGTTCTTCAAGTGGCTTGGCAGGTGACGCCTGCTGATTTGTGACGTCAGCAAGATAACACATATGTCTGGTTCTGAAACAAAGAAACAGTCTGTGGGAAGCATCCCCCAAATGTTTTGAAACCTTCTTATATCCATGTGAAAACACGTGGCCTGGGGGAAAAAAATGAATTGAATCTATCTGAAAGTCATTCGCTGACATTTCCAATCTCCTAATTCAGAGGGACCCATTCGGAAAAAATTCTAAAAATATTGAAATTCAGATAATCCATTGAGCCATTTCTTGCCTTCTCTCACCGTAATGGAGAAAAGTCTGAGATTAGTATTTTAATAGTAATGGCTAACATTTATTGAGCACTTACTATATCAAGGATTATACTAGGTGCTTTTCAGATTTAGCTCATTCAATCCTAATAACCTTACTAAGTGCTATTGTTATCCCCATTTTATAGGTGGGAAAACTGAAGTTTAGCTATATAGCCAGATTTGTTGTCAAGTTTAGTTCTATAGCCAAGGTCAGAGAACTAGAAAGTGGCAGAGAGAAGGCAAACAAGGCACGAGTGAAATGCCAAAGCTCAACCTGTGTGAGTCACTGCGCTGGAAGAAACTGGTAGCATGAAAAACTTTAAATACATTTGGAGTGGGATGATGTTTATTTGCAGTTTGTCCTTGAAAAGAATGAACTGGGAACTTCCTGGTAACACCCAGGGCCTCCTAAGTGAAGAATGCTTTTTACCTTGTCACCACACGCCTGTTACGTGGGAGACAAGAAATGCCCTTCCTGGCATCAGGGGAAAGTGTTCACTTCAACAACGATCAGAGAAACTTGAAAACTAACAGAGTGAGGAAATAAACAGTTAAGTATTGGTTTAACTACATAAGAGTGATACTAATGAGTCCTTTTTGTGTTCTATTTACATTTATTGTGCAATATGATATCGGGTTGCACAGATTTTGTATACTTGACATAGATGGTTTAGTTTATAGCACCAAATTCTTCCCGCTGGACCTCTCATGGCACATCTGAGATGGTTACAGAGAAGGCCTTGGCCAGTCCTTAGTCAATACCTCCACCTCGTCACACGTAAACATCAGCGTCCAGATATTACTAAGCTGATTTCACCATCTGAACAGCCAGGCAATTCTCAACGAGGAAACACATTAACTGAAATTAACTGAAAGCCATACTTCGTGGGATTTTGAAAGGTTGAACAGGGACAACCAAGGGCTATCATTCCAGGGCTTGATACTGGCCTCAAGGTGTCAATTAGAGAGAATAATATTTGATATTAAATAGGTGTCAATTAGAGATAATAACAGAGACCTTCACCAAGTGTCCAAGAACAAATTAAGTGTTCAGTTATCTTTGGGAAACTCTAATGCCCAAGACTTGCTTTATTAATGGGAGGCGAAAGTAGGTCATAGGATCTCAGCTCAGTAGGTCATAGGAAGGTTGGACTCGAGACAGGTGGGCCGAGCACCTGAGCCTACTGGGAAAGAGCATGCTTCTCGGGGCTGGAGGGCAGACAAATGGGGCACCCTCCCAAGAGCCTGCATGGGCATCTTTACCAAGTTGTCATTTGTGTTTAGAACAGTATTTATTATGTTTATTTGAGATTTATTACAGAAGAAGAATACTGTCAGTGGACCAACTTCTAATGGCTAACCAACTGGCAAACAAGCCAAGTTCTGTACTCAATTCTCACATTTATCACTGACTCATTGCGAGTTCCAGGAAAAGCTATTTGATTACTGTCACTTCAATGGTATCGGTTAATGAAACACAGGAAAGACTATGTCCTCAGCCTGCGTCTTAGGATTATAAGAAGCACGCAGGAAGGCCAAGGCCCATGAGGAGAGCAGCCACTCAACACCACCGAATCCCACTGAGTCTGTGAGGAGAAACTCCGCTTTGCTCCCACATCTGCCTGTGGAGGAGGGGACAGGAGTGGGTTGTAAAATTCATGCCATAATTCAAAAAGTAACCAAAGTAAGAAAAGTGGATACAAATACTAAATGGGCTGAGGTATCAAAGGAAGTTGAGACAAATGATGAAAAATAAAAGACAAAGCAAATATAAGACATAGATGGGAACACAGTACAACATCCAAATAGTAAAGAAGAAAATATCCCACTTGCTAGTGTGTGCTGAGGAGATCGTATCATGGAGAAGTCGCAGAGAACCAGAACCTTTAACGCTATGGTTGTGGAATACAGTTTGGCAATCCAAAGGCATAAATGAAAATAACAGTCAATTAAAATTGGGAAGGAAGGTTTAAAAAGGGAGATGGGGGGATTAAGGTAAAAGACAATGTCAAGGGAATCTTAGAAGCTTCTTTCAAAAATTAAAAAACACAGAATTAAATGAGGAGCAGATAGTAAAGTAGTCCAGGATGTCTCTTTGGCATCTTTCTCTCTTACTAACTTTTAATTCCTCCTTCTTAAATAAATGACTTTAAGTTATTTACCATTTCAGAATCTTCTGACTTTAAAAAATTGCCTTACCGGGTTATGAAGACAATATATGTTTTTTGGTGTTTTGTCTGGTTTTCTGTTTTGTTTTGTTTTGTTTTAGAGATTGCCCAGATTGCAGTTTAGTGGCATGATCATAGCTCACTGTAGCCTCAAACTCCTGGGCTCAAGCGATCCTCCCACCTCAGCCTCCAGAGTATTTGTAACTGTCAGTGGGATAACTGAAGGCTGGTGGTTCACGAGGAGACAAAGACAATGATAGCTCAGAAATCAGAATGTGTCTGTGTTCAGCCTATGCTGCCCAGGAAGCTGGAACTCATCCCTGTTTGGACTTTACGCCATTGCCTTGGGGGTTCACTTTGAGAGGAATCAATGAAATGGATTTTTTCAAATGTGTAAAATTGAGTACAAGATCTCGAACCCACTGAAAGGGGACAAAAATGAGCGACCTTGCATCTCTCAATGCCATGTCATAACTGCCCCTGAGCAAGGCTGTCACTGCACCTGCCAGGTGCCATCATGTAGCCATGTCTAGCCAGGCCCTATCACAGACCCCACGTGGGTCAGTAAGTCCTCTTATTCCTGAGTGCTGTTCTCCAATTTTGATTTAGGAGAATCAAGTAAATTCGATTTTTTTAAATTTATACTCTAAGCAAACTAATAAAGCAGTTTTATTGAACAACGAGCTGCACATATCTCAACTAATTACTGATGTACCATACAGGTCACATTTTAGTATTGACACCAAGCTCTCTGGCCCCAGGTGGCTAAGTCAGCATCTCAGATCTGTCTGTCCTCAAGGTCTTTATGTCTTTATCTGTTGTCTGATTCTGGGCATTTTTCACATGTATAGTCACATACGACACACACATATGTCCACCTACAGATGTCTTCCAGATAACTTCTGAATTTAATTAATGGTCATTAAATTATAAGGCTTTACTACCCTAACTGAAAACATTCTACTGGTCTGTAGAACACACAGAAAAAACTACCAGGCACTAAGTTCAAAACACAGATTCCTAGGGTCTATCTATGTCCAAAGATGCAGAGTCAGAAGTAATCAGGAATCTGTACTTTAAACATATTGAATAGCAAGTGTTAAGGCCCCAAAGTCTGCATTTTTAACCTATTTCCCACAAAGAGTAAAAAGATGGACGAGGGGATATGCAACATGGTGTCATTGTTCCAAGTACAAAGTGCCAGAGCTCAAATATCAACTTGACGACCTGCGCACACTCAGGCACGGTACTCTTTCTCTCTACCTTGAATGCCCCACTTGGGGCCAGGGGTCGTGGCAGGCCTGGCACTGGTGTGAGTGAAGGTGTGAACACCTGTTGATTCTCGAAACAGTGTCAATACCTTGAAAGAATTCTAGTGAACACTCAAAAAACCTTAATAATTTCCTGCTTTATATACTTCTATATATTGTTTTGAGGGTTTTTTTCCCTTAAAGAAGCATTTCACTACTTTTGTCACTTTTGAAAATCTTGTGCCTCTGGGAGG